CCCCCCCCCCTTTTCTTTCGACCGTTTTTCTCGTTTCGGATTGTTTTTGCCTCCTGAATAGCCCACTTCCAAGATATGTTTCGCTTGTCACGCACAAAGGTTTCAGTATGGGGCTATGTGCTAGTAGCTCAGTCATTCGTGACAGGCTGTAAGAATACATTTAATTTCAGAGCACGTAGCCTCATACTGAAACCTTTGTGCGTGACAATCGAAGCATATCTCGGAGGTGGGCTATTCAACTGACAGGAAAGAAAATCACAAGACACGAAAAGAAAATGAAATAAATAGTGAATGGAAACAAAATATAACGAGATAAAGTGACGTTTACCCATGATCGTTTTGTATCTTCTAACTTTAGACGCAGGACAAACATGTCTCAGAATTCTACACAGTCGTCGAAGGACAGCTTAGGCACCATGAGCATCATCTGTGTAACTGTGATCTTCACACAAGCCTTTATCGTCTCCCTCGCCAACCTCCTGACCATCATCACCTTTACCATTAACATACATCTACGTAAGCGAAGTGTTTACTGTATCATTAACCTGGCTGTGGCTGACATGCTGGTCGGGCTTGGATCCTTGGCCGTGAATTCTGCTATTGCTAGGATATACGGATTTAAGGTGCTCGTTCACGAAAATGCAGTTCAAAGTCAAAGTCTTCCTGTGAAAATCCAATTCCATGTATATACGATGACTTGCAATGCTACCATGTTGTCTATAGCTCTCGTGGCGTTAGAGCGAATGTCAGCCATTCTATGGCCGCTGCGTCATCGTCAATACAGTCCTTGGGTGTACGCTCTCTCGATAGCACTTACGTGGCTGGCTTCCATTCTAATCGCTATAACTGGTATATTTTCATTTAACAATAGCTCCAAAGAATACCTGGGAGGGGTGTGGATGATCTCGATTTTCTTTGTCATATGTGCTTCGTATATTGCAATTTATTTCAAAACCAGATCAAATAAACAACAGAACCAACTGCACATAGGTTTACAGAGGATATCAAGACGAGATTATAGACTGATGAAAACATCGTTTTTAGTGACTGTTACGTCATTTGCTACTTGGATTCCACTAGCGATCTTGTTCATCATAAACGATGCAAATAGAGTCAGCATGTCACCTTACATTGTCCAATGCTTCGTATTGTTGTTTGTTGGGAGTTCTTTCATCAACCCTATAATTTATGTCTTTCGAATGAAGGATTTCAGAGCTGCTTTACTTTGTTTAATAATATATTGCTCGCGCAATCGACCAGCCAATAGGATAAGGCCAGTGGGTCCAGCACGGACTACCAATAGATCAGGTAACCAAAGTGCCACACACGTCATAGACATCCATGAGGTAACACGTCATAGA